CCCCCCCCCCCCTAGTGTGTCTCAGGAGCCGTGTGGCAGCATCCACGCCACACATCTCAAGGTGCAGCATCAGCTTAATATCTCACATCTCAAGCTGCAGCATCACTTGATATCTCACATCTCAAGCTGCATCACTTAATATCTCACATCTCAAGATGCAGCATCACTTAATATCTCACATCTCAAGCTGCAGCATCAGAGTAATATCTCACATCTCAAGGTGCAGCATCACTTAATATCTCACATCTCAAGCTGCAGCATCAGCTGTGCATCTCCCTCACATCTCAAGCTGCAGCATCAGCTGTGCATCTCCCTCACATCTCAAGCTGCAGCATCAGCTGTGCATCTCCCACACATCTCAAGGTGCAGCATCACTTAATATCTCACATCTCAAGCTGCAGCATCACCTTAACATCTCCCACACATCTCAAGCTCCATCACCAACTGAGCATCTTCCAAGTTTACTGTTCTCTAAATCCATTAATTAAATTCGCGATGCCCTTCATGCGTCGTCGACCAATGGCGTGCGTGAGCGGCCAATCCCTTTTGCTTCTAAATGACCGCATCATCTAATCGGCCAATATTCTCTGCCCACAATATCGACGAATTACGGAGCAGATTAGGCAGTTTTACGCCCGTCTCTAGCTGTCTCCAGGGCGTTGTTTACATCCGGGTTGCCATGGCAACCAGGGACGCCTCTTGGCCCGCTTCAATATATATATATATATATATATATATATATATATATATATATATATATATATATATATATATATATATATATATATATATATATATATATATATATATATATATATATATATATATATATATATATATATTGAGGCAAACGTTTGATGTCGTAAAAATTAACACATTTTCTGATATTCATACTTTCGCCATAGTACCATAAAACTCGTAACTACAACAAGGACGGGCCAAATAATACAGTACAAATGTTGTATTCATATATGTGTGTACCTTACCTTTGCGATGATTTCGGGGCTCAACGTCCCCCGCGGCCAAATCTCCGTCCAGGCCTCCTCAGTGTGCATAGTACATTTATAGTTGGGTTAGTTTATAAAAGTTTACAGTAAATTACTGACCTCAGAGAAATGCTTAAAAACAGCATAACACGAATGTTTGTCGATGAGAATACAATTTAAAGGACTAATATAAACATTCAATGACTTTATTCCCAATATTTTTACACCAAGTAATCAGTAAAAGGTGGCTTACCGAATCCCTAGACTTTTAAAGAAAAGTAATGAAACCATATTCATTCTCGTATTCTTGAAGATATCCTCACAGTGTACCCAAAATTTGCCAGTGCAGGCTACTAAACATATGGCTCTGTATGACTAACCATCCTGCGAGATGGGGACTTGTATTACCACTGCTACCTTATTCAATCTTGTGTTGATGATATCCTCAAAATGCTTCTGGAGTCTGCCAGTGCAGACCGCTTATCACATGCCTCTGTATGACTAACCATCCTGTGTGATGGGGATTTTTTAGCATCACGTAGCATGCTTTTTGACACTGTACTCTCCTTCATATAGTCTAGGGCAGCTGGACTAATGCAGATGTACCTAATGTATTAATAAAAAAAATCCATCCAAATGTACCTAAATGCATTAATAAGAAAAAGTGAATTCAGAATTACATTTTCTAAAACAGAGAGAGATGGAGGAGAGAAGTGGTTTGTGCAGCGAAGGAGATGAGAGATGTTAGGTAAGAAGGAAGGAGAAGGGGAGAGAGGGATAGAGGGGGAATAAATGGAGCTGAGAGGGGAAAAGGAATGGATGGGTTGAGGGTGAGAGGGGGTAAAGTGTTGGAGATGAGAAGGTAGAAAATGAGGGGAATGGGAGAAAGGGACAAGGTGAGGAATATTGAGGATGAGGGGCAGGAGAGAGAGGGTTGAGGGAGAAACCGCTATTCCGGGTCCCCCTTCTGGTATATATATACACTCACAAAATAGAAGTTGTTGTTGTTTAATATTCAGTTACTTAGAACAAAAAGTTTCAAGTAGCACGGGCTATGGTGAGCCCGTAGTGGACTTATCTGGCGCAGGAGCGGAGCTGTAACTGATGGCTGATTATTTTGTTGTCGTTTAAGATTCGGCTACTCGGAACAAAACAAATTAGCAAATTATAACAGTATATATAATCCTAGTAGAATGAGGTGAGGTGTCACCAGACAAGTGGATTATGTGACCTTGTCCCACCTTCCCACTGTACGGTGGGCCAGTAGGTGACCCGCCAGTTCTGTGCTGGTCTCGTAGATGCCGTGACTTAAACAATAGTCACAAACGGAGCCGGTCGGCCGAGCGGACAGCACGCGGGGCTTGTGATCCTGTGGTCCTGGGTTCGATCCCAGGCGCCGGCGAGAAACAATGGGCAGAGTTTCTTTCACAGTAAAATAGGTACCTGGGTGTTAGTCAGCTGTTACGGGCTGCTTCCTGGGGGTGGAGGCCTGGTCGAGGACCGGGCCGCGGGGACACTAAAGCCCCGAAATCATCTCAAGATAAACCTCAAGATCTCAAGATATCCCTGATGATGATCTGGTAGGCAACACGTTAAAGTTCATGTGCACGCTACCAGGGGTTTGGTAGCTGAGTAGACAGCGCGCAGGAGTCGAAATTCTGTGGCCCGAGTTCGATTCCCGGACCAGGCAGAAACAAATGGGCAAAGTTTCTTTCACCCTTAATGCCCCTGTTACCTAGCAGTAAATAGGTACCTGGGAGTTAAGACAGCTGTTACGGGTTGCTCCCTGGGTGTGTGTGTGTGGAAAAAATATTAGTTAGTAGTTAGTAACAGTTGACTGACAATTGAAAGGCAGAGACAACTGACGCTTATAAAGACGGGGTCCAAGAGCTAACAGCTCGATCCTGCAGGCACAAATAGTAAATACAAACGGTAAAATACATACACACCCACATACATAAACTCACATGTATCCGAACATATGTGGTATGCTCCATATGTGGTGGAGGCTGACTCCATACACAGTTTCAAGTGTAGATATGATAGAGCCCAATAGGCTCAGGAACCTATACACCAGTTGATTAACAGTTGAGAGGCGGGACCAAAGAGCCAGAGCCCAATCCCCGCAAGCACAATTAGGTGAGTACAAATAGATGAGTACACACATGCAAACGTGTATGTTCATATTCTTTCATTCACACAAGTATACGAACTAACAATGCAGAAAAAAAAACACGAAATATGCTAAAAAAAAAATAGATATTACCACCTTCAGAAATTTTATAATACATTCAATACTATTTTAAATTATACTTCATTTGTATTTCTCAATACGTTGATAAAATGCAGACGAATATTCAGAGTTCGAGAACTGCCTCGTTCGAATGAAACAACATAACAGCTCACGGTGGCAACTGCCAACCCTGTAAAAAGTGATATTTCAAAACTCGGTCGAGTTGTGGCATTAGAACGGGTTATAAAACAGTGAATCCCCGTCGTAAAAATCCCCTTTTTTATGCGCTCTTCAAGCTTGTGTGATTTTCAGGGTGTGAGGGAGATGATAAAAGGCTTTTGTACTTTTCATCGACCATAATGGGCTGTTGGAGTATGGCTGTTGTGGTCGCCTGAGCCTCGTTTTGCGACCCGCGAATTCTGTAACATTTTTTAGGCTTCCTATTGTCGGGGGACTGCAAGCCTTTTAGGCCTATTGCGGTCCACCTAGAGGCCTAGACCAATGGCTGACACACACACGATGCAGCGTAAGTGCATACTTACGTGTACACTTAAGTGCTTGAGGAACCTGAGTGATTCTCACTACACATTTGGGCTAAGATTTTCATTGTAAATGACCTAAACACGCTCTTTTTTACTGCTAGGGGAACAAAGGCATCAGGTGAAAGAAACTCTTCCCATTTGTTTCTTTCTAGGCCGGAAATCGAACCCGGGTATATGGATTTCGAATTCTGAACACTGTGTGTAAATATAATATTTTCAAAGTCATTAGTAGTTAGTCGTTGTATAACAATATAATTATCAGATGCATATAATTATCAGATATATAATACTATCAAACGCATATTCACCAGAAAATCATTCTGGTATTCAAGTAATTATACGACAAATATGATAATTCAATTCGTGATCTTACTATGGAAGAAATAAATGTTCCTCACCGTGGATCTTGACGAAGAAATTAGTCTGTCTCTTATCCATTTTACGAGCGTTGTATCTAAATCCTCAAAGCCTAAGCCTTTCATTCTACAAGTTTAGGCTTCTTGTAAGATCAAACTCTTTATGAAGATCGTATCACTAAGACCTTAGAGGAGCTACATAGGCGGTCCGATCCAATCTGAAGATCAGCATTCAGTGTTCCATCTTGCAAGCCTTTAAGGAGATCAGTTCCTCAGATGCTGGGAGGCTGCTGTATTGACGTCCTTATCAGATGACCTTCTTCCTTTAGGCTTGATGCTCTGTTGATGCTGCGGCGCCATATATATACAACGTCTAATTAATCATGTTCTAAATAGTTAAATTATTTTATTAACAAATATATTGTAACTTTAATCACAAAATCGTATATTTATCAATATTTTGATCTTCATTTTTATCTTCTATTATAATTACACACTTTATATTTTACTTTATTATATTTTGTTATTTTTAATTGTATTACTGAACGTATTATCAGTCCAAAGAATTTTTAAAAATTTTAACATAGCAAAATAATTGGTTGCTAAACCCTGGATATTATTGCTCATTTCTTTAAGCAATAAGTATTTCAGAATATGCATTAAATAAATTTTAACTTGAACCAAGAATAAGTGTAAGTGAAATACGTGAAATAAGTCTTGACTAAAAGTTAACATCACAGCTCAGAAAATATTGTTTTGGTCAAGATTGGCAAAAACGCCATCTGGTATTTGAGTGTAAATTCTCGATCACTCTCACATTAGAAATGACCCAACGCTTAATTGCCATTGTTTCACATATATCTATTCACCTCTGCCACGCCAGGAAGGAGCTCAGTGTAAGGGTAGACTCACAGGTGTGCGGTGCTGTCTCTCGGGAGCCTTGAAGAATGTTTATTTAGCAAGATTTTGATACAGGATTTTCTACAAGTTTTCACTAACGTGTGTGTGTGTGTCTCATCACTTGGCTAGCGACAAGTAGGTGTTCTTCCTCATGTTACAAGTTATCAATGGTTTTCGGGTCGTGTTAGAGAGCTAAAAGCTTCGAGTGCGCCCATTACAAGCATAATCTCAGTCAGCCTGTGACCTTAAGGTATACTAGTGCTGGCAATGTATACTAGTATACCTTAATATAATAATGCTAGTATACGCTGGCATCTCGTATACCCTCAGTGATGCCAACCTTTTTGCTGGGCGTTTAGTGTTTCGTATTTTCTAAATGTTTCGTGATTTTTTCTTTATATATTGACGTGTTTTTAGATTTACGTGGTAGTCGTTAGTAGGGTAAGGTGGAGTGCCTGGCAACCACCAGAATAAGATTTATTACATAAATAAGTATGTCTTATTAGCAATATCTGGTAGTTGACATGTCTGCTGAGACGTCTCTCTTGATTGACAGAATTTACTTCCAAATATTTTATAGTTTAATGTTTTGGTGTATTATATAATTTTGTTATATAAAATTATTGTATATAAAACCCTAAACAACATGTTTTAGTGTTTTATATAATTTAACGTTTCGCAAAATAATAATAATAATCACCGTTTTCTATGTCATGTCTGGGATAACTATGATAATGTTGACCGTTAATGGTGATCTTACGTTTTTGTACACCTTACGGTGAGACCAACTAACACGTTTCTGAACTTTCATTTCCTATTTCTTGATAGGAAATGATTATATTATTCGTAGCAAAAATTTTAAAATGCTCATAAATTTATGACATTCAAGTGTCAATCATTGTAATGACACCGTGACATTGAACAATTTCCTGAAAAACGGAATGTTGCGCCTTTAAATGTGATTGCAAGCTTGCATGTTGCAGGGTTAACCTAGATAGACGATCACCATTACCTTAATTGTCTGGAGGTTACCTACCTTGAGGTGCTTCCGGGGCTTAGCGTCCCCGCGGCCCGGTCGTCGACCAGGCCTCCTGAATGACCAGGAAAAATAGTTAACCAGATAAATTTATATATCTGAAAATCTGGTGTAACGAAAAAGCTTGGAGATCCAGAGGTGAGGCCACCAGAGTTACACATTTCAGTAGGGGTCTTTAGGAAAGCTACAAGACTGTAATTGCTTACACAATTATATTAAGTATTTAAGAAAATGAGCGACGTGTTTGTGTCGGAGGGTAAACTGAAGTGTAATGTACTTAGTCTCACATAAATGTGACCAGGCGAGTAGTAATATTTTATTGCCAGAATTTGTACTTTTAGATGCTGGTAATATCTGTTCTAGATGTTTATGTAGAAAAGTTATGACTGTACACTGCAGAATCCTCGAATATAACTTAATGATTCACCGACACGAGGTAATTGTGTGATAAGATTGTCACGCGACAATATCTCTGCCACTCAAAGAGTCGAGTGGTCAAGTTGCTGTACTGTGGAGATGACAGTCATAGAGCGGAGACTAGTGTGTGGAGTGTACTTACTGGTGCGTAGAGACTGGTGAGTGGCAGATATTGGAATCAGTCTAATGACGGTCAGTTGCATGTTCTTGCGTTCTGTTTACCAAAAGTTTGGCTAATGACATTTCCTCGTTACTTTATTTACAAATTTTCCTTCATTCCCCGTTTTCCATAATGCAATGAATGTGTGTGCATTGTTCCATCTTAATTCTGGCTTGATGCACTTACCAGTAAACCAATTCGTATTTTTCTTTATTTTTTAATTTGGTATTTAATGAATCCTCAGGAGCCTTCATGAGGGTTCGAACCTATACAGTGTGTTTTCCCAGACGCGCTCTTGTCAACTAAACCATACAGCCCGTCCTCCAAACAAAAACCCAAAAGTTATTCCATGCGCCCGCCAAACCCCTTGTTTATGAATGAAAAAGTTTACACACGACTCGCAGCTAATTTCGTTCGAACACTTCCGGAACAAGTGCTTCACTGACGAATTTTGTTCGAACCACAACGCTGTAAATGCTCCAACCCGTTCTCGCAACGGGCTCGCAACGGGCAACGTTCTCTCGGACGGGCTCTAGCCCGTCCTCCAAACAAAGATCCAAAAGTGATTCCATACACCCGCCAAACCCCCTGTTTATGAATGAAAAGCGGTTTACACACTACTCACACAACCCGTCCTCGACTCAAGTCCATTACATTCAGCGGTCAACCCCACAGACGCATTCATAAATTTTAACATGCTGTTCATTCAAAACGGGAATTTTCGCAATTATAAATTAATATTATAATATATTAGCATATTGTGCATATATAGGTATAGGTTAGGTTAGGTGTTTAGGTTCTGTTGGCGATTATTTGTATTTGTAGTACGTGGGTGAAGCATTTTCAGCGTTGTGATTCGAACAAAATTCGTCAGTGAAGCACTTGTTCCGGATATGTTCGAACGTCAGCAGTTGAGTCGTGTGTAAACAGCTTTTAATTCATAAACAGGGGGTTTGGCGGGTGCATGGAATCACTTTTGGATCTTTGTTTGGAGGACGGGCTGACTCACAACTGCTGACGTTCGAACATATCCGGAACAAGTGTTTCACTGACGAATTTTGTTCGAATCGCAACGCTATAAATGCTTCACCCACGTACTACAAATACAAATAATCGCCAACAGAACCTAAACACCTAACCTAACCTATCCTATCCCTATATATACACAATATGCCAATATATTATAATATTAATTTATTCTTAAATTCCCGTTTTGAATGAACCGCATGTTAAAATTTATGAATGCGTCTGTGGGGTCGACAGCTGGATGTAATGGACTTGTTGAGGACGGGTTGCATGTTAATGTGATTTCTCTAAGTATGGTATTCATTGCTGTAGTAAATATATCTGTGGCTCTTAACAGGTGTTCACTTAATATCGGAAATTACTTTTTTGTTCCCGCGTTTTGCTTTGACCTCGGCATAGTGGCACATGTGAGCAGGAGCCGAACTGTGTATATACTTGTTCTTGTGTGTCGAGGACAAGTGTTGTGTATTTCGTACTTGAGTTAATAGTTTATACAGGTTTTAATTTATATGCTACATAATCTTCCCGGCTTGGTGCTTTTTGATAATTAGTTAATTGATATTAACGTTTTAAACTTGTAATTATCTAAATTTACTTTTGTTCTAAGCATGTCTTTGCTTTCGTTGTTAATTCCGTGAGAGATTACTACCGAGTTTCACTTAATGGTATATAGGTAGTTAAAATGTTTCTATAGCCCCATTATTTAAGTCTTAGGGTGTTAGTATCAACATAGGTTACACATGCAAATGGATGACATGGAAGTACACTTAATAGTGTACTTAATAGTGCACAATCGACTTGAGAATGGTCCAGGACGGACCGAAACGTCGTCGTCCCTTCACTTTCTAGTGTGTGGTTTGGACAACACTTAAGTTTCCTGCACCTTCAAGCATTAAAGAGACTCGATATCCAGAGCTCCTTTACCACCTCTGTATTATAACTTGGTCTTTATTATGCCTAGTAACAACGATTGTAAATCAAACGCTGTGCTAGAAGGGAGCACTGATAACTACCTTGGGGGACAGGTATAGAGGATAAAAGGCAGGCAAAGGTCGTATCCAGGAAATGTTTAGTGTACCGGATTCTGTAGGTTTGTGACGCCTGTTAACGAGATCCTAACAATGCATCCTGATAACAGCTACAATTGGAAATGTTAACAGTTCAGCTGTACATTATAACTGCTTCAAAACGGTTATAGGAACTCGTAAACTACCTACAGCTTTTGGTGAAAATTAACTTGTGTAATAAAATCGTCAAAAAATACATATTTTTTCTTGTAAAACAAAACACAATTATGAAAGCTCCTGAGAACGGTCAATAACGGTCTTACTTCCACTGATGACTTTTTAATTTTCTTATGTGTTTGATGCCATATTTGCCTGGAAGCTCAAGGAACACTTAACATTATTATTTTTCCTGTTAATGCGAGGTTTGTATCGCAACACAAATTAGAAAAACTCGCCTTACCCTCCAGGCGAGATTGGTCACTTGGAAACATTAATTACGCGCTCGGAAATGTAAACATTCTTTGTCTAACATTAAATTTTTCCTCAATGTTTTGGTAACTGAAGTAATGACTATTTCTCTTGATTTGTTTTATATTGATCAATATTTTGTATTTCGTTGATTAATGTTGCTTTAAGTACATATAAAGCATTAGCAATAAATTATGATCTTAAGGGCTAAAGTCAATAACCTGCTTTTTACAATCGTTAAGCGTCCTGGGAAGTAGTTTGGCCATAGGGACATAATTGACTTTAATGTATCTTTGTTTAATAACTTTCTCATTGGTTATCATTATAGTACTTTACTCTCTCCACCTATAAATATTTGTTCAGCTGCAGGCAGTATATTAAGTTTTTCTCTAGTAAATACAAAGTATTTATCTGAAATACTACTCATTTGTTATATGGGGCCTAGTCCAGTATACTCGTTAATCTATCTTTGATGTGTGAAAACAATTAGGATTTGTTTTTACTGTATGTATTTTATAATTTTTTTTTTTGCCTATATATTTTGTAACATTAATTACTAGTTTGACAATTTTTTTTTACATTAATTTCCCATCCTTGTTTCTTTTGTACCAAGCTTTCTTTTTACCGAGAATGTTCTTTAGTCCCAATTGTTCAATTGGGGGTACTGTTATACCACCTGGTCTTTATGGTATACTACGTCCCTGGGCTTTACTAAGAATATTTGTAATTTTATTATAGATAGTAATCTCTTGTCACGTCACCCACCACTAGCTCACCTCCCATGTTAACGTCACCCACGTGTATCCTCACATTCCTTAGTCCATCATCAGCTTCTCGGAAATCTGGCATATTTACCGTTTTCTTCAACGCGACTCTTGCATGCCGTATTAAATCTTGTCCTCCCTGTGTTCCATAGTGTTAGTCGACTAGTCCAGCAACCAGGAGGCCTGGTCGACGACCGTGCCGCGGGGACGCTAAGCCCCGAAAACACCAAAGTAAGGTTAATGTTTCTTAGTCTCCCCTGTGTTCCCCCAGTGTTTCCTAGTCCTCCCTGTGTTCCCTTGTGTTTCCCTGAGTGGTTTTGAGAATTCTTTACCTCACTCCTATTGTTTCCATTTTATTTTTTTCCCCGTTAGAACTAAATCTAAAAATGTCTGAGACGTTACCAGGAACGTGTCTACGGCCATTGAGTCTGAGGTGAACTCAAGGTCAAGACTGCCATACAAGGTCACAATAAATAGTGATCTTGCCTCACGGTCCACCGTATAAGAGTCGGTGAGACAACGTGAAGTCATTGGTCGAAACGTGAATTCTCGTACAACCTGTTTTCGTTATAGCATGTCGCGTTGACGTACACTTTACCTAAGGTCAATACTTGTCAGAGAAAATGGTAGCGGTTACCATTCGTTCCACTATTCCCCCCCCCCTCCCCTCTCTTTGTACCTTTTCCCCCCATTCGTATGCCCCCGTTCCTTCGTCTACCCCTACTCTCTGCTGTACCCACGTCTCCCGCTTCCCCCCTACTTCCCGCCCCCCCCCTCTCCACTCGCAGGCTTTATCCCTTCTATCCCTGTCCATTCTTCCCCCTTGTTTTCCCCAATCATCACCGTCACCCGTCAGTCACCTGGTCAGTGAGGGGAAACGAGGAGAGGTCAACCCTCCCCTCCCACCTGTGACAGGAAGGGACGGTAGGTCGACCCTCCACCTGTGGCGTCACGTTCATATTTTTACCCCCTCTGTATATCGGTTCATCTCTCCCAGCTGTCTGCCGGCCTGTCTGTCCTGTCTCATTCCCTTCTAGCTCATCTGTCTACCAGATTTACACTCAATCTCTCTCTCGGAAGAGTGTAGGAGAGTGCACACTCCTCCCTCCCACCCCTCCCTCGTCATCTCCCCCTACCCCCCGTTTACCTCCACTTCCCTATCTTTATCTTCCAATATTATTAATAGCATAATAAGAGCAAATGTAACTGTCCTTATAAAACTAAAAAAAAAAGTCACTTACACAATATAATAGTTGCCCCGTTAACATTTTTTTAGTTTGGTTTGTTTTCTATTGAGGGTGAGGTTAATTTCAGAATATAATTTTCGTGGTTCAGGAGCGAGTTTTGTTATTTATTAAACTAAAGTATATTATTAAAAGTATTCTAACAATGACGTTGTTTCCAATAATAAACAAATCATTGTAGTATAATAACATAACTGTAAATAGTGAGTGATCATCTGAGGGCCCGTCAGACTGACCTCCACCCAAGGCAGAGACAGGCCTTGCTGACAGCAGTAAGGGACCTAATTAAGGAACACATGGGACCAGTAAGAGTCAATAGAGCGTGTATAATTCCCCTAAAATGACCCAAACGCGTCAGTGGATGCCTTCAACTCTACCACATCGTTTATTGAATGAGATTAAATATTTTAAAATGGGATTCGAGTTGACTAGTGTGTTTTCTTTTACATAATAACATATAGCACAACATGTATTTAATATGCCCATAGGTTACAAGCGTGGGACCATGCAATGTCAGATGCATTGAATACCACGAGGAAATTTAAGAAGCAATTGACAGATTTTTAACTATCGGTTGTCAGTGTGGTGAATACTATTGTACAAGGCGCTTCCTCGTTACACCCCATAGTCCTCAGTAGGTCCCATTGCCGGTCTATTAACTATTATTAATCGTGGTCTCCTACGGGCTCACCATAACCCGTGCTACTTGGAACATTTTGTTCCGAGTAGTTGAATCTAAAACAACAACAACAACAATGTTAATAGTTCAAATGTACCGGGTAATTATTTGTTGTTAGCTTCGATTATATTGACAGGGAATGTTAATCATATAGCTGATACAGTTAATTGTAGCCGTATATGAAGTGGATGCAAAAACATTCTAAATTTCACTGCACCTAATTTCACCTTTATCTGAAAATAAAGGTGACGACGTTGTGGTCCGTCCGTCCGGGTTGGGTCCGTCCTGGACCATTACACAACCGCGTCTAGCAAGGATCAAGTTGTCACTTCATTATTTTTCCATGTGCGAGCTAGGTGTCAATCCATCCCAGTTACCTGGGTTCTAGGAGATTCGAACCGGTGACCCCACGTGTGTAAGGGCGAAGCTATATCGATCGAGCTATTGAGTAGTTTCCAGAAGCAGCTTCCTGCTGCCAAAGGATGCCATCATCATCGGCTTCTCGGAAACCTATCATATTTTCCAGGAATTTTCGACTTTATCTGGTTACTGCTGAAGCCAAGTATTAGGCCTTGTTTTTAGGTGCCAAGCCTAACACCTGGGCCAGTAGTACAGTGTTGAAGAGAGACTTTTCCCCGTCCGCGCCTGGCACCAAGCAGGTCCATCTGGTCTTGGGTAGCCGGAGGCCAGACACTGTCAGAACTCACAGTGGGTGACGGTATAGCTGGCTAGTTGCGGGTCCGGAGGATCACCATTGACCAGTTGCGGGTCCGGAGGATCACCATGTTGTTGTTATTGACCAGTTGAAGTGATTGAGGGCGTCTTCGTACGCAGTGTGCGCGCTTCTTTTGTTAGCGAGAGTTAAGACTTCAATATCTTATTAGGCAACAAAGTATACTTTAGCACTGAACATTGTTCAGTGCTTAAGGAAATTGTATATATATATATATATATATATATATATATATATATATATATATATATATATATATATATATATATATATATATATATATATATATATATATATATATATATATATATATATATATATAACGAAGTTGGCATATACAGCGATCATATCACTTGTCTGTGTTCGTTGTTTTGTTGAATAGTATCATTTTGGTGTGAAAAATCCGTTTGTGAAATAGAATATTTTGCCGAAATGATAAAAAATAATCTCGGGTAATAAAGTACACAATATTAAACAAATATAAAATATAAGTTTGAATATTACTATCGTCATTGAAAAATACGCCTCTATAAAAATAATTTAGTCTTTCCCATCATTTTGATTCTAAAGAAAACGGGCATCAACATCAGGACAGTGTACACGAATCATTATCAAGTATTTTGCAGCTGATCAAACAGATTACTTGATCACTCCACACAGTGTGTGTACAGCAGCATTGTTTTCTCAGGTGGTAAGTAGTTGTGTCAACTAATTATTTTGGGATGTCTTGTAAACCGGACTTTCTTTGAGGGGATGAAGCTTTTGACACTGGATAAAAAATTAATTTTTTCACCTGTAATTGGCATATTGTTTTGCACCTGGGACATTGATTTATATATGTCGCGCGGGGTGGGTAAATTGATTTCTTGAACATCAACGCTTTACAAGAAATGAAAGCAGAGTATTAAAATATGTTGACCAGACCACACACTAGAAGGTGAAAGGACGACAACGTTTCGGTCCGTCCTGGACCATTCTCAATCGACTTGAGAATGGTCCAGGACGGACCGAAACGTCGTCGTTCCTTCACCTTCTAGTGTGTGGTCTGGTCAACATACTTTAGCCACGTTATTGTGACTCCTCGCCTGCAAAGAGTATTAATATTACTTCCGGTGTATGTGCTGATCTCAGGCAGGTTGAAGATATAAACGCTACTGAGGACTGCCAACAAATGCATTATAGTGTTAGTATGGAGGTCGCGTTGGGTCTCCTCCCCTTGTGATGGACGGGTCCTGGAGATAGCTAGACCTTCACCATCCTCCTGGGAGGGTGCTGTATATATAATTTAATCATTACTATTTACTATATCTCTAATTTTAACAATAACGTTTATATAGCGCTTTTCTCAAGATTTATCAAACTGAAAATGTACGATGTGAATGTTATGTAATTATATAACTTAGTTTAACTCCTACTTTTATCAATCGATTACGGAAATAGCGAAGCTATGCGAATTTCCGTCCCGTTTTCTATGTTCAAATCGAAGTCAGTTTCCTTCACTACAGTAACAATGAATATTTGTACTGAAATGGGTATTTCGCTTCTTACAGGGGTATATATACTCGGGTATTCTTATAAGGGGATATACCCTTATCGGTGTATATATATAGTGCACTGTTTTCTTTAGTTATGGACTATGTTCAGGGGTAAAATATTCTTGCTTGTCGGTCAGTAAGCTGCTGCTCTTTTCTTCATAACTTCCCATAGGTTGAGAGAAGTTAAGCCCAACGCCAAACCAAATCGCTTCTCATAATACATAGTTTACTTTTGTTCTAAACTACGCCCATTCTTACAGGTTGGTCAAACCACTATAGGTGGCCTTAATAATCTCCCAGATATTATCAGGCCTTAAACGCCACACCAAGCTGGGCAAAATGAATTTCAAAGTCGTTGATACAGTAGAAAACGCGAGCAAGAAGTGTCCTGGTGCGCTATACTGAAGGCCTGTAACAGTGGCCGATTATACGTGGATGACTTGCTTGATAACTCGTCTAAACGGCTTATATTATATTTACTTTTCATTATTCATTGAACGGTGCCGTGAGGAGGAGGTGGGTATCGCCTGGCACTCGTTGAACAGTGACAATCAGGGTGGGTCGCCTTGGTCTGTAGCGGAAAATGTTTATAAGGAAATCAGAAAAGAGGGATAGTGGCAGTGTCCAGTAGCACCTGAGCCCGACCCTGGTGATGGACGGGTCCTGGTGATAGTGATCAGGGCGCGTCTTCCCCTCCCTGCTGCTGCCTTAATAACAGTTCGGGGACGGTCATATAATTTACGCTTTTATTTCTCTCCTACTGATTCTTTCCTATTCATTGTCACAGCTTTTATTTTCTTTCAGATTGCTCTGCTTCGCAAAACGGAAGAATCGTGGACTGGCAAGACCAGCGATAAGCTTATTACATCAGAACGGGACGTCTTTGGATGGTCTATCCTATGGTAAAGTACAGACTGACGGATAATTTGTTTTGGGAATTAGAGATGGGATTAGTAATCTTGTGTAGATTAGTAGCAAACGAAATGTACATTTGCTTGAACTGCTGACATTACGTTGTTATACAGATATCCGAAGCATTATGCTAAAACTATAATTGAGATTTTTAACGTTGAGAATCCCTTCACTATAACCTTGAGCAAACTCTGGATTAATAGAACAGGAAGATTAACTGTAAACAAGGTGGAAGTTAGCTTATATATAACATGCTTTAAAAGCGACGGAAATATGAAACTGGGATGTAGAAGCTTAGGATTAATATACGGAATTCACTGTAATTATATTGATCAAATAAGGCTCTGAGCTACTAGATCACACAGACTAAGCTAGAAGCATGATGATGTCTTATACTATGAAACTAAATAGGCTGTATACAATGATTTATATATCATAAGATCAAAAGTTAAACAGCATCACGATAGTTTTTATTCACTCGACCAAAATAGCAAAGTGCAGCTGGCTCTCAGGAACTAATTATTTGAATAGATTCCTATTCGTTCCACCAATTTGCTAAATAGAATCTAAATTTATAAATTTCTTGTTTACCTGTTGAGGGCACTGGAGATAGTTTAGTTAGGGAATTATTCTTAGCTACGGAATGATTCTTACTCGGTCATTTACAACTACCAATTTTTAACAAAATAGCCTGAGGAAGAAACGATTAGTTGTAATATTATTCAGGTACCAAATGTCTTGACCAAGAATGATAATTCCTGCGTTTGACTGCATAGGTTAAGGGTTATTTATCACCCATTTCCAGGTGTTCCCAACCTTTTCTATGCCCGTACCAATGGAAAATGTTTGATTTAAGTTTACATAACATACCAAAGTAATGCAGTATCATATTTCAAGATAGCATTCTATAGTATCTTTTACTTAAATCCCAATGGATCATTTTTGGCGAATCGCGACGCAGCCTATCTCTTTGTCGCACCCCTGAAATGCCATCAATCTTGCATTCGCTGTTGGGTACAGGCATCCCCCTGGTTGGAAACCTTACCGCCATGTTCCAAAAAATCTCCTTTTAGTAAAATCTATCAAATATTTTCAACACCATGGCTTAGGTAATGTATATTCACCACAATATAACATTTTCTAAATTTTAACTTTTTGTCGAGTCTGCGATGGCTTTCCCGTCACATAGACAAATAAGCCTGTGTGTAAACAGTTTTACGTCAAATTTAAATTTACAGGCAAACGGGATGGGTGATATATAAATTCTCTTGTAACGCATACATTGTCTTACATAAACAGAAGATTGGGAAATAAGGCATGCGTGTGAGGGCAGGTATGGAAGTCAACATGAATGTTTTTCTGTTTAGGACTGACCGAAGGTCTCGCGTCAACAGACAGACGTTACAAGGCGGGTCGCTGAAGACTTTCATCACCAGAGACTGAGGCAGCACCCAACACCACAGACTTAAACCAAGAGTACCTGACCAAGATCTGCGTCGCCGGAGGCTTGGAGAAACCAGAGTAATTTTCTCTGCTTTGAGCTGAGAAAGCTTATCACTGAATGTAATTTACAGAGAGTAGACATTGAGCCTACATGTATCTTAAACGGTATCGGCAATCCTATTTTGTATTTCGTGTTTGTTAGGGGTGTTACTCATGGCTCTAGCTAGCCTGCCCGGTTCACGATGGCTCATGTCTCGTCTAGAAACAGCAGTGACAAGTGATGCTTGGTCTCTTGTCTCTAATCATCCCTGGCTTTGTCTCGCTGGTCTGATACTCATTTCAGTCATACCTGGCTCGAAACGGCTATTCTACAACATCGGGTCATGTGTGACTCGCAGAATTACGGAACATCCCATGCTGTCGATAGCTGGATTGATATCCCAAATGATCCCCGGCTCACGATATCTGGTATATTGTTTTAAATCGCTACTGGCCCGCGATGGCTGGTCGGGTACTCTCAGGTCTAACTTAGCGAGCGCTGGCTGGTCCGGGGAGGCTGTTCATCCATGGTTCGCGTTGGCCGGGCTTGCGTACTCGGGCCATCCTCAGCTTGCAATAGCTGGCCTGGTGTACTTGGGTCACACCTGGCTGGCCATGGCTGGCCTGATATGCTTGGGTCACACCTGGCTTGTGTTGGCTGGGCTGGTGTTCTCGGGTCATATCTGGCTCGTCATATCAGGTCTGCTGTTCTCAGGGTATCCGTGGCTGACAATGGTTGGTTTGGTTGTTTCAGGCCATACGAGGCTTGCCCTCGTTGGTCTGGCCTTCTCAGGCCATCCATGGCTCGTTCTGATTGGTCTGGTGCTGGTTAGGGCTTTTCCTAGCTGCCCTGTTGCTCAAGGTGAGGAGGCTGACAGCCCTCTTACTCATCAAGGCCAGGAAGAAGGTGGCGGCCACCTTACTCATCAAGACCATGAAGGTGGTGGCGGCCACCTTACTCATCAAGGCCAGGAAGAAGATGGCGGCCACCTTACTCATCAACCCCAAGAAGACTGTGGCGGCCACCTTACTCATCAAGACCATGAAGGTGGTGGCGGCCACCTTACTCATCAAGGCCAGGAAGGTGGAGGTGGCCACCTTACTCATCAAGGCCAGGAAGGTGGAGGTGGCCACCTTACTCATCAAGGCCAGGAAGGTGGTGGTGGCCACCTTACTCATCAAGGCCAGGAAGAAGGTGGCGGCCACCTTACTCATCAAGGCCATGAAGACAGTGGCGGCCACCTTACTCATCAAGACCAGGAAGACTGTGGCGGCCACCTTACTCATCAAGGCCAGGAAGACGGTGGCGGCCACCTTACTCATCAACCCCAAGAAGACTGTGACGGACACCTTACTCATCAAGGCCATGAAGACGGTGGCGGCCACCTTACTCATCAAGACCAGGAAGACTGTGGCGGCCACCTTACTCATCAAGGCCATGAAGACGGTGGCGGCCACCTTACTCATCAAGGCCATGAAGACGGTGGCGGCCACCTTACTCAAGGCCATGAAGACGGTGGCGGCCACCTTACTCATCAAGGCCATGAAGACGGTGGTGGCCACCTTACTCATCAACCCCAAGAAGACTGTGGCGGCCACCTTACTCATCAACCCCAAGAAGACTGTGACGGACACCTTACTCATCAACCCCAAGAAGACTGTGACGGACACCTTACTCATCAACCCCAAGAAGACTGTGACGGACACCTTACTCATCAACCCCAAGAAGACTGTGACGGACACCTTACTCATCAACCCCAAGAAGACTGTGACGGACACCTTACTCATCAAGGCCAGGAAGAAGGTGGCGGCCACCTTACTCATCAAGGCCAGGAAGAAGGTGGCGGCCTGATCTTGCAGCCCTAACTAATAAATTAATTGCTGGGTTGAACTTCCAACCCTCCCTCCATTACCCCCCCCCCCCCCCCGCACGCGCGCGCGCGCGCCACACACACACACACACACACACACACACACACACACACACACACACACACACACACACACACACACACACACACACACACAGTTGAGAGGCTGGACCAAAGAGCCAGAGCTCAACCCCCGCAAGCACAACTAGCTAAATACACAACATGGCACACTCCCATGTCCCAAATTCCTCCAATGTTAATGTAAATTTATATAATGATTATTTGTAGTATTGTAAATCTTGTTTAATAAACACTTCAGAAGGAATCAATTTTAATAATATCCAGGTTCTGTATTTTTACCTTCATTGTGAAGTTTCTAAGTCTTGTTTCTATATGTATTTCGCGGGCTTTTTGTCTTCCTCTTGAGGCCGCGTCCGACCCGGTGCTTGGCAGTGTATGGTAGCCTAGCGAACATGGGTAGAGTAACAGATAGTTGCAGGTCTGGTGTAAATGTGATTTATTCTACTTTTTGTAAAGCGATTTCTGCAGGAATACTGTGATTTAGGAACACTCTGTCGAGAGGTCAAGGCTTTAGTTACCCCGGCAGGCCAGAAATATTTGGGCTCCGTTTTCTCTAGCCTGATGAATCTGTTCATCAGATAAAGATTCTTTATTTAGGTAAAGGTACATCCATTGAGTTACATAATGATGGATTTAGAGATAGTACATGTAATACCTAAAGTCACTAGTACGCATAGCGTTTCGGGTAAAACTAGCAATCTAGTAACAAACAATATAGTAGTAAATAGGTCCGGTAGCCTATTGGAACCTTGATATGCCTAATAGGGTTCCTGTCCTCACTACCTTAATCCAAACCGAACCTTATCAACATTTTCCGACTTCTGTTATTCCTTCCTTCCGTTATTTCTCGTCTCTTCTCTTTATCTTGTATTACTAATCCGTATTTATTATCAACTTCATAAGTCTCTCGTGACCACCTCAGTCCTCGCCAGTGTTTCCACCCGTGAGGAATTGTTTCCATCATGAAGTCACAGTTGGGTCGTTACGGGATATGATCCGCCAATCATGGTTTAAGTAGATCGATTTTTTTTACTTTGCGCATGTTTTATTCGATCATATTTACTAGCCGGAAACTCTACGAATGAGCTGCCAGATCCAGTTAGATGGATAATTTAATCGTTTAGCGGGAAAACCGCGCGCAGAGACAATGATTGGGAGACAAGGGAGGAGACGGAGGGAAAAGATTGAGTTGTTTTATATTCAGCTACTGGGAACAAAATATTCAAAGTAGCACGGGCTATGGTGAGCCCGTAGTGGACTTACCTGGCACAGGAGCGGGGCTGTAACATGTGAAAAAAAGATTGAGAGGTTCATGAAGTGATAAAGACCTTTTGTGCCCTCTGTAATCCGTTTTGCGCCACCGCTCACAGAACGAGTATGGAGTGCACAATAAACTAGCCCCCCTCCTCTAGCAGCAACAATCAGATCATGAAGGAAATGTAAGGATGGGCATCCTTACCCCTACCCGGCTCACAGGATGATCATCCTTGCCCCCCCCCCCCCACCCACCCATGCCCACAGGATGGGCATCTTCACCACGCCCACACCACCAGTTCAACATTGATAGTTGACGCAGCATGAGAACTGCTGAACGAACTTTGAGCAGTAGTGGTGTATTTATCTCGGCTTATTCCATAAATAAATGCTTCCTAAGCTGTATTTGTAAAGCTTATACAAAAATTACAATTTCAAATTATAAGCTTCAGATACGCTTGAGAGAAGGTCCACTGTTGAGTAGTCCGCTCTATAGATTGTCAAACCGTCAAAAATTCGGTGGTTTTACCTAACCAGAAATGTCAGTATTGAGGTGATTTTGAGTGTGTGTACAGCGAGAAGCGTGAATGTACACTGACTACACTTTCGACTAACAATTGAAGATCCTGGGTTCGATCACCGGCCGGAACAGAAATCCCTGGAGTTAGACAACTGCTGTGAGAGGGAAAATATTTGGAGCAGGACGACAGGATCGATTCCATTCTGCTCCAAAGATTTTCTCATTACACGTGTTTTCAGTGACATATTTTTTTAAGTTATCACTGGAAAATATCGTTTTCTATTATCCTTACTACTCAAAGGAACAGAAAACGGAGCTCACCTTCCCTTTCACAAGAGGAAGTTCATTTTCTCTCTCCCTATAAATTTTTCGCTCGACACCCATATTCACAGAAAACTGCCAGGGCCTCTCTCACTCCAGGAGGGGAACGACCGTCTCGGGTACGATTCGACGGAAGTTTTCTAATCAGAGTTCCTTCTCGACTCTGTGTTAATTCCGAGTTATCACGTATTACGCAGCCCTGGCGAGGTGAGCGACCTGCCCCCCGACGGGTCCGCAGGGAGTTATCCACGTCATTATGGAGAACAAATGTGTTCTATTTGCGGTGTTATTTTTTATTCATCATCCATACGGGAGGTGACTAGGGGCCTCGGCACTGACAAACAGTCGCTTGTGCACGTGTTTTACGAAGGTATTAAACGAAAACACCTGCCTGAATGAAGGGAATTTAGATCGTAATTATATAGATTTTACTAACACAATCATTAAGTATTCATAATTTTATATTTTCCAGATTCCTAAGTTAATTTTAACTTTTAATCATTTTAATTGGTGAGAACATATTCTCGGTGCCCAGATTTGCTGATTATTGCGCGCCAGATGCTCATCCTGTGAGCCGTAGCGCAAAAAAGTATTTCAGAGAGCACAGAAGGTCGATAGATAACATTCCTGTGTAGTCTCCCATGCTGGGCACAACGATTCGGAATTTAAAGATAAGAAATGTATATTTTTGTTTTGGAAGAGTTGGAATTTTTTTGTTGGTGGGTCAACGCCCAACACAAAAAAATAAAATCCAAAATGCACAACAAAAACGGCAAACGTCCAACGAAAGTGACAAACGGAGAACAAAATAAAATCCATATACATGGATATTAATATATATATATATATATATATATATATATATATATATATATATATATATATATATATATATATATATATATATATATATATATATATAAATATAACCAGTGTTGTAACCCATTTTGTGCAATGAATTTTTAATGACAAAATTCACAATATATATAGTGGTGTGGTGGAAGACAATGTGTGAGTATACGAGGGTGTCCCACAAGGCTCCCCTGGATGCTACATATCGTCTTCTTCGAGGTTGAGAGTCCTTACAAACGCAACCAGTGGTGGTAACCCCATATATATATAATATGTATATATATATGAAATAATATAAAATGTGTCAAATGAGGCACATTTCCGAGTCACAAAGACATTAACCATATTATCATATTGATGTTTTTTGCCGTGTGGTTTGGGGTGGGGGGAGAGCTTAGCTATTCTGCTCTATATCCTTGATAATTGTCCTCTCCCAACGATACTCTTCTGTCCACTACACGTGTTTTTCTTTTTCGCCCTCTCCCTATTTTTTGCCCTTGTTCTCCCTCGGATTGTTTTCCATATTCTGTGGCCATAACAAGCAGCTGCAGACCACAAATAACAGAAAACCACGCAGAAACATGGGCCGGTCCCTTGAGTGTGGGACATTACGCCATTGTGGAAAGTACTGCGAGCGTATGACCACACTTTTTGTGTATTGAACGTCCAGTGGTGTGGGAAAATTCGATTTTCTGTGTTATCGTTGAAATAATCTCATGGATATTCGTCATTGTTTCCTCATCGTTAATGGTGGTAGACCTGGAAGTAATAGTAGATTTATGAGTAATATTAGTAGTAGCCTATGATTAATAATTAGAATTAGCCAACAAATAAAACTGCGATTTGAACATTCAAACAAAGTTGAGGGTTTGAGGCAGGTCCCGTGAGCGGCTTGATTTTATGATTTGCGTAGAGCGCAAACCTGCACACTCCACCCAACCCGTCCTCTTAAAAAGAACGTCACTTTTGGCTGGTATGCGCACTATGGCCAAATTTGGACGTAATTTGAAATGAAATCAACTCACAAAAGTGACGTTCTGTTCCGTTTTCTATTTGAGTCGTCCGGCGTACGCGCAGAGGTTATAAGAGGACACTTTAAATTCATGTTTTTCATAACGTTTTGAAACTTTATGAAAATTTCCTGCCCACCTAACCTATCAGAGGACCCTTAACTTACTGTTGTTGAAAAAAAAAATCCCAAATTTATTTTCATTTTATTTTTTATTTTCAAATTACGTCCAAATTCGGCCATACGGGTAAACGGCCAAAAGCGACGTTCTTTTTAAGAGGACAGGTTGTCCAAGCCAACAGTCTGATAGCTCCAAGGATATTAATGTTGAATGTTTTAGTATTATAGATGAATTATTGGTAGAACCGTAGGTGATGAAAAAGAAAAAATGATATGGAAAGAAGAATAGCAAAATGGGAAAGACAGTAGCGATGAGAATAGTAAAAATGGAAAGAATTTAAATATGAGAGATAGGAAAGAATAGTGGAGAGAGGAGGAGATACATGGAGGAGAATTTAGGGAAAGAAACCTATAAAAGATAGGTATAGTTCACGTGTTCTTCCCGCAAATGCGTTCTTTTGTGCGCGCGCTTCTTCCTGTCTTGGTGTACTCACCTATTTGTGCTTGCGAGGGTTGAGCTTCGGTTCTTTGATCCCGCCTCTCAACTGTCCATCAACTGTAGAATCGTGTGGTGTATGTTCAGGTCTGTGTGGTTGAGCGTGTTTTTGTTATTGGTAGTCTGCGTGCTTGACAGTGGGGGGGGGGGGGAGACACGGGTGTGTGGGGGAGACGGGGGTGTGTGGGGGAGACGGGGGGTGTGTGGGGGGGAGACGGGTGTGTGGGGGAGACAGGGGGTGTGTGGCAGGGTCCCAGACCTGTAGGTCCTCATGTCGGCCACTCGTGTCCTCTCGACCAGAGACTGACCTTCATCCCCACACTCGTGTCACAGAATAATAATGATTCAAGTAGTCCTCGATGAGCGTGATTAGCTGTAAGGGGGGCGTGGTGCCCCTCACAT